CCCGAGCCCTCCACCAAGGGTCTGTTTGAGTGTGGTAGCGGTTGGTTCGGCCGTACTCGCTGGCAGCGCACTGGCGGCCACGGATTCCCCGTGGACGTCCAGCTGACTCCAGAGGAGGTGGTTCGTAACTGGAAGCAGATCACCAACTTCGATGATGGTCGCGCCGACCACCCCGAGGACGGCCAGGCCGGCGCCGAGAAGATCATGGCTAACATGGGTAACCGCGTGCACGGCAATCCCTCCAGCGAGAATGAGACCCTAAAGAACATCGAGAAGGCCAAGACCCTCTCGAGCGAGGGCACTCCCTTCAACTACGAGGACCGCGATGTAATCCTATACAACCTCAGTGTGGGCGCTAAGCGCACCGATTTGCCCCTTGTCTACGAGAACAATGACCAATTCCAGGCCCTTCCCTCGTACGGTGTTGTCCCCTGGTTCAACACCGCTAATCCTTGGAACATGGACGACTTGGTGAAGGACTTCTCCCCCATGATGCTGCTCCACGGTGAGCAGTACATGGAGGTGCGCAAGTTCCCCATCCCCACCACCGCTAATACCCTGACCTATCCCAAGCTCATTGACGTTATCGACAAGGGCAACGCGGCCATTGTTGTGGCCGGATACACAACCAAGGACGCTAAGACCGGCGAGGATTTGTTCTACAATGAGTCTACCGTCTTCATCCGCGGCAGCGGCGGCTTCGGAGGCTCTCCCAAGCCCACTACCGTGCGCGCCAAGGCTGCCACTGCTGCGTACAAGGCGCCGCAGCGCCAGCCCGATGCCGTGGTTGAGGAGAAAACATCCGAGGACCAGGCAGCACTGTACCGTCTGAACGGTGACCGCAACCCGCTCCACATCGATCCTGAGTTCAGCAAGGTCGGCGGCTTCAAGACCCCCATCCTGCACGGTCTGTGCTCGCTTGGTGTGTCAGCCAAGGCTGTCTTCTCCAAGTTCGGTCCCTACAAGAACCTCAAGGTTCGCTTTGCAGGTGTCGTCCTGCCTGGCCAGACTCTCAAGACTGAGATGTGGAAGGAGGGTAACACTGTCCTGTTCCAAGCCACTGTTGTTGAGACTGGAAAGCCTGCTATCACCGGCGCCGGTGCTGAGCTCCTGGAGGGTGCTAAGGCCAAGCTGTAAATTATGAAATATTTGGTTGAAGCGATATTCCAATAGGCAAAGCGAGCTGAACCACTTGGATCAGACTGTTGCTTCTTTGTATATACTACCTGTGCTTTTGCGTGTTTGTTTTCCTCATGAGGTCAATGGGATCTATCTGAATTTGGTAATCCAACTTGTACATTCTAAACTTTTTGAGTACATATAGTTTGCCCAATGTAAATACTTTTGTCATTTTAGTAACTGCATGTAATCTTTGATAGAATTTCCATGTGCCGCAATATGAGATAAGAGAGGATTGCAAAGGGGGTGTATCATTTAACTATTGAACATGGCATGATTCTTTTCAATAATAAAAAGCATGCAATGAGATTCAGTGGCGGGTTCAGATGTTTCAGTATCGTACGAGATATATATATTGATATCTCCAGACTCTATTCAAAAGAGGGCCAACCCCGGGAAGGGCCCGCGGAACGTCTTATGTAACAAATCATTTACAGGCTTCAACGACATTCTTAAATTCCCCTATCTCTCTGACATCAGACACTTTTATATTTCCAGACCATGTAAACCTACAATCATGGTGCTCTCGCTGCCGGTCCCCGGCTTCTCCAGATCCTCCCGCCCCGACGGCACACAACCTCACCGAAAGTCAGCCTCCGGTTCTTCAAGCTCATCCAGTCGCAACGTCCGGAAGCCATCCCTAGGGCAGACTGTTTCCTCTCCCAACAGCTATTCCATTACCCTCGAAGCGCTACGGAATAACCCTTTCGGCAGTACCTCCCGATCCCACGGCCCCGTCCAGCTCTCAGCCCACGAAACAGAGGAACACAAGCTGGAACAGGAGGAACTCAATACTGCACTCGAAAATCTCGCTCGCATCTTTCCCGATGTACAGATAGAAGTATTCCGCGAGCTGCTGCTACGCTTTGACGGACAGAGTCGGTTACAAGTGTGTGTGGAGGAGCTGCTGAGGCATAAGAAGAAATGGGTTTCGGGACGGTGGAATCTCCCGGAAGGAACTGAAGCCGAGGCAGAGGGAAATGCTCGCGCAGCCCCTGGGGGCGATGACTTTGCTCGACATGACCTTGGCGATGGTGGCCTGGTGCCTCCAGAGGAGCGGTTTCGGTCCGATGAATACAAGGCCGCCGTGCGGATGGCCATGACAAGGGAATATAACGGTCTGAACAAGAGTACCGTGGAGGCTGTTCTAGCTGAAGTAAATTTCAGCTACGCTCGGGCTCGACCGACGCTCCGAGATCTGTCGCGTCGGACATGGCGCGCGACATTCAATAGCATGTTCCCGTCCTTCAGGCGAAAGAAGGACCGCGAGGAACATCCGCTTCTGGCCTGGCATCGTCGACCAGACGGGGAACTTGTTCCTGTTCTGAAGGAAACAGGGTGTAGTGAGCTGGATGCAGAGCTCCACGAGATGTTGTTGGCTCCGCTGTTGCGACAGAAGCGTGAAGAGCAGCAGGATAAAGATTTCCGATTTGCTTCGGAGTTGAACGAGAAGGAAGCCCAAGAACTCAATGCCCTTTACGAATGCGAGTGTTGTTTCGCCGATGTAACATTCGAGCAGATCGCGACATGCTCAACCAACACTCATATCATTTGCTACCACTGCATCCAAAGAACCGTCTACGAAGCGCTGTTTGGGCAGGGCTGGGGCAAATCTGTCGATCTGGAGCGCTCGACCTTGAAGTGTCTTGCGCCGCTGTCCGTCGGGTCGTGTGATGGATGTCTTCACCCGGAGATTGTCAAGCAGGCAATTCTTCTCGACACGGCTGGCTTCGAGACATACCGCAAATTTGAGGATCGGCTCTCCTCTGAGGCACTTATGAAGTCTCAATTGAAGCTCGTTAGATGTCCGTTCTGCTCCTATGCTGAAATCGACCCAGTCTACCACCCTTCATCCCGTGGTGTCCACTGGCGGTTCCGTCGTGACGGTGGCATTATTCCTACTATTTTGATGATCCTCCTCCTCCTTGACCTCATTCCCTTACTCGTAATTCCTCTGTTTATTCTATTACTCTTGGACCCAGCCACCGTAACAGCGGCCTTTGGGAATGCTATCCGCAACCTCTGTCTCAAGATCCGGCCCAAACGATTCACCTGCGCCAACCACTCCTGCTTACGCATCAGCTGCATGACATGCCAGAAACCGTGGCGAGATCCACATGTGTGTCATGAGCCGTTACTTCTGGATTTGCGCGCTACCGTCGAGGCTGCCCGCACTGCCGCCGTGAAACGCACCTGTCCCCGCTGCTGTCTCTCATTCGTCAAGTCCTCAGGCTGCAACAAACTGACTTGCGTCTGTGGATACTCCATGTGCTACCTATGCCGCAAGGCACTCGGCCCACCTCCACGAACAATCGCGCCTGCCCGTGCCCTCCGTAGGTTAGATGCCTTCGATGGTCCGGGCGATATACCCGACGATCCCTTTAACGAGGAGCAGATCGCAGGCAACATGTCCGATGACGAATTCGAAGAACCAGAAGGCTATAAACACTTCTGCGAGCACTTCCGCATCAACCCTGGGGCTCGTTGCACAGAATGCACGAAATGCAATCTATACCAGGCAGAAGACGAGGAAGCGGTCGCCCGCCGCGCAGGCGAAAAAGCCGAGCGTGAATGGCGGATCAGGCAAGGCGATTCCGGTACTAGCAACCCAACTTCGGGTGTTGAATTCCGCAACGTAAATCAAGATCTCTCGGCAGGGGCGGATGGTCACTCCGCGAATCGCCGTGCGACGGCTTCACTTTGGGATTTGCAACTTACATCTTCGAATAAGCCGTGGACTTACTGGCTCAGTGATGTGTGGACCGATGGGCGGTGGAAACTCGAGGGTCAGGCTTTTGCGGATTGGATTGTGGAACGGGTCGTGGAAGTTGGGGACGTGTGATCCCGCGTGTCCCTTTGGCTACACCTTTTTCACCTCTCTTCTTTTCTCCTTTTTCTTTTGGGTTGCGTTTTGCAAAAATGGCGCTTGTTTTCTTTTTGCTTGGAGGGTTTCAGACGACATGATGATTGATGACACTGCCTACTTCTGTTTGATAATTATGTGGCTTCCTACTACTGTCAAGATGTAGCAAGAAGCATTACTCTCTTTCTAATGCATGGCTTCTTTTTTGAAACCAACCTTCTACTCCTAAATTGAATACCTTTATTGAAGAGATTTAAAGACATAATAAAGTGGAGGGTATGTCTTGAATTTCACATGATGCTTAGCAAAATACAATCTATGGATGAACACACGAAAGAGAGGTAGAACATCAAAACCATAGTGGAAATATATGCTGAAACCCCAATGAAAACCTCCGAAGACCCGAGGACGGATTTGCTGGATGTTGTATCCACCCAACAGTAGTTGCGTTGACCAAATGTTCCAGATTGTGGAAGCACCAACCAATAGTACACATGTGGATTGTTGATTGTAAACCTTTCCGAGGAAGATTTGCTGCAAGGTTTGTTGATGCGAAGCTTTGTGTGGACTTAATGATTGGATGAGGCTGAGGCATGTGGATGGAAGGCCTCCACGGTGGAATATGGTTATTGAGGATGATTGTCAAGTTGATTGTCAGGCTCATTGGAAGATGGCTGATTGGAAGATGGTTCCACCTATGTCTTTGTAAAATATCTAGACTGGGCTCTACAAGCCATATCTGTTTGGAATTACCGTTACCTTTGATACTATCCCATCTTAGAGCCAGGACAGAGGGACTATGAAAGACAGTGAGGACAAATCAATTGAGATAAATGGATAGGAAATAGGTGTGAAAGAACCAGAACAGTCCTTTAAAAAGCACAGAAGGTCAAAAAGGCGCCACAAAGACCGCGGTCCATCCACCTGAATCCACAAGCCTGACAGAAAGACATACAACCTAATAGTCCGGTTGATCTTCACAGAGATGCTTGGGGCTTTTGAAACCGTCCATATTAGCCGCTTTAATAAAGTCTTGTGTCGTCTGAACATCGCCATTGCAGATCGGTCCGCACCAGACAGGGCGACTGTCGTGGCCGTATGGCTGCAAGATATACTCCTTCATGGGGTAATCCGAGTCAATAGCATTACTAACATCGCACACTGGAATTGTGAAGATACCCTCCCAGGATGCACCTTTGGACCCGGGGCTTGCCCAAGAGTTTTTGATAGCATCGGAGGCACGATCGGAAGCTGTTTCAGTGTTGTAGTTATAACCAGCGACATTCCAGGCATCAAGAGAAGAGTTGATGACATCCTGGGACAAAAAGTTAGTACCAAGCAGTTCCACAGGTGATTTTACATATCAACACTTACGGCAATACTGATGCCTCCGTAATCACCCTGACCTAGCTTCTCAAGCCCAGGGGGTGTAGCAACCCATCCCCAGCGGTGGGAGGTAAGGGAGATCACATCATTCTCTTGCCAGTAGTATAAATACCAAGCCCTGCCGTCACGGCAAACGACAGAAGCCTCGGGGCCAGAACCAATTCCCTGTTCATCACCACAAGCACCGCCACCCATGATAAAGATCTTTTGGGTACGGTACAATTGATTGATGGCAGTGCCGATCAGCATATTGGTCATTAGATCAGTGACCGCGTTCTTGTCAACCCCATTGAAAGCGAGGAACGCTCCACCAGAGATGTAGTCGCGAATATCTGCGTCGCCATACATTTGACCACTCATCAACTGGTTATTAGCGGTCGTGAACGACTTCATCGAGTCCACAACGATTCTGCCCAGAACTGCACCCATGTCGGCAGATTTCTCGAAAGTATCATCCGCACTATTGATGTGTTAGTACAGGGATGATAAAAGTTCCCAGACAGAAGTATCACATACTGAGCAGGCAGAGCAGCGCCACCAGCACCACTTGCACCACCGGCGATTGCGCTACCAGCACCAGCAAGAACACCAACAACAGCAGGGCCCAGTCCAGCAAATGAAGCACCAATACCAATAATTGTAGTCAGCAAGCTGAGTACCTGCCTGAGTGCAGTGACACTCTTAACATCTTCATCTTTGTAGAAAGTGAGAGCCCACGAATCCTTGGACAACGCCGCACCCAAAGCAGTAGTGGTGAACGACTCGCCAATACCGCTGAAGTAACTGTGCAGGCGATTGACGGATTCGAGGACATAATATGTAGGGCGGATGTCGTCACCGCGGCCATTGAGGACTTGATTATCACATAACTGTAGGTCGCAGTTTGAGTCCGAGCCGCCATCATGACACGTCCAGTCTGGGTCTCCCATTGCCCATTGACCGAAGGCGCCAGCAAACCCGCCACTATTGTTGGCAATCAGTTCGCCATTGTTATTCCACCAGTTGTTGAGCCAATCGCCGGTATTGTAGGTCTCCCAATCCTCCATATGTTGGTTGTAGTAATTGGATATTGGCCCGCAGCGCTTGTGCAGGACACCTGCTTGCACTTCTGGCAGGAGAGCGAATGCCGTTAAGACCAGAGAAGGCAACATGACATTAGATCAATTTGCTTGGATTCTTAACGATAGAATGAAGAAAAACATGATTATCTTCATGGTTTTTCTGTCACAGTCCTAAGGGGATTGAAGATCCCTCGCCAATTGGGGATATGGGGTCGATGGATTTATGTCAAGTGGCAAGTAGCAAATAGATGATCTGACAGATATTACATTCCTTCGGCCCAGGTCTGAGCTGACTTAGGGGGGATTCCTACAAGTTAACATCAAATCACTTACCACCATATTGCAGATTATACCCGAGGCTTTAAAATATAATCTAACTTACCTAAAATATGGAGAGAAAACGTAAAAGCTCCTATCTTAATAGACTTCCACTCGAAATCTCCCTTCTGGTGACGGACATCATTTACCGTATTATCTACACTTATGCAGAATATGCGTAACATATTATTAGTGTTTACATTAAATTTACCAGATGCCTTTTAGAGAAGTCGATTCCAATCTAAACGTGATTTATTCTTCGAGGTGAATTTACTAGCGACTGATTCAATGGACTAGCAGCTCTTATAGCTAGGGTTAGTAGGCCATTTTTCCGATAAATGGTATAACTCTAGTGGATTAGCACACCGCGAGCGATTACTTAGACTAATTAGGGGAATCATCGCAAATTACAATAAATTTGATAGAGACATTTTGCTGGGCGATAGTATCACAGGTTCCCTCGTTCTTTCTTGCTTTATGATAGATCGAGTTATGGCACTTTACCATGCTAATGAATCCATTTAACTAACGATGCTCAAAGTCCACATCCCACATCCTTTATCGAATTCCACAGAGCTCGTACACTGCCATGTGTTCGTCTTGATTCAGTTCATCATTCTCTAGGTCTCTACAATTTCTTTGATTGGGTGGTCCTTTTCTATCAAATTTGTTGACTGCAGCTTCATCTGTTCCGACAATCTGTATAGTAAAGCCATTGGGACGTAGCTCACAAGGCCAAATTTCGCGACATTAGAACATTTTGTTCATACTAGCTAGATGATAGGAGAGGGCTTCCAGCTTGGCCTTCATAATGTTAGAGACTCCCACAGTCTGCATTTAGGAATCCCAGGCATCATTGTCATAGCACAGGCGTGCTTACATATCTAGCATGTTTCAGGAATCAGACATTAAATTTACTAAGGGGTAGAATCCGGGGATGTCCGAACTCAGCCCTAATAAATATGCAACTGATCAATGGGCTTTCGCCATTCTTTTTTTTTAGCACCGGAGATCAGCACGCCGGGAAATTTGAGACTGATCTTTCAATTTTCTGCGTCTATTGTAGTGCAAGGATTGAAAAATGATCTATATTCTTTTAGGAGCTAAATTCGCCCATAAAGTGCTCCGGCCTTTTGTGATCAAATTCAATTAGATCTAGTTATCTCTTTTTTCTTCATCCAACTCTCCATTGACTCGTTTCTTCCCTTCTTCCTTCAAGGCTTGATCGTCCGCTCGGTTCAAACCAACCTGTGGCATCAACCAAACAGCCAAAAAGAAAGCAAATGTTGCAAGGGATGCACCGACAATGAAAATGATACGAAATCCTTTTTGATATGCCGGTGTTAGCACATCACGGACATGCTTAGCATCCCCTGCAGATAACTTTGATAGATAGCTCTGTGGGCTCGAGAGAAGAGAGCGGGACTGGGATTCGTCGATATTGAGGACTGAAATGGATGACGAGACGATGTTATTTCTGTATTGATTAATATGAGAATGAGCCAACGGATTTGAAAGAAGTCTTACATGATAGTTCCGGCAACAGCGAGCCCTAGGGTACCGCCGAGGTTTCGTACGAAGCTGCTCATTGTTAGCTTCGTAAAATGGATAGCATCACCGTGGGCGTCACTTACTTCCTGAATGAAGTTATCACAGCCATATCCCGTCTTTCAACCCCGGCTTGAACTGCAATGAGAGAACTACAGGGTGTTAGCGTAATTTATTGAACCAGGATAGGTGGCCACGTACGGCTGCAGAGTGTTTCCAACGCCGACACCAGTCAGAATGCCATACCCAATCTGCTTTCCCATTCCCGAATGCTGATCAAGTGTCGAAAAAAGACCAAGGCCCACAGCCCAGACAATCCATCCAAACAGGATGCATTCACGGTAGCGGCCTACCCAGTGTACAACAAGACCAGAGCCTGTGCTGCTGATAGCTGAGACAGAAGTTAGGAAGTTAACACAGGAACATGACCAAAGGGAAACAATTCATACTTTGCATGAGGGTAATAGGGAGCAGCATCGCGGCTGCTTTTACCGTTGAATATCCAAATACCAGCTGATAGAAAGTGGGAATATAGTAAACTTGCACCAAAAAGTTCCACCCGTTAATGAACATGGTCAAACAAGCGCCGTTCACAATCCGACCCTGGAAGATATGCATCGGAACCAGCGGTGTCGACGCACCCTTCCACTGCCACACAACAAAAGCAACAGAGATGGTGAACCCAGCGACCAGAGTTGCAATGACATGCGCCGAGTTCCATTCATACTCGCCGCCCCCCCAAGTCAAACCAAGCAGCAAGACTGAAGTTCCACCGAGAGCCAGAAGCGCACCAAAGAAATCAATTGCCTTCAGCTTGACTTTCCAGTCGCCAGTGACTTTCCGAAGGGGCATAAAGAACAAAACAGCCAACGTAGTTAACGCAGTGAGTGGCAGATTCAAGCGGAAAATCCATCGCCACGAGTCTTGTGAAATGGAGGCTAGTGCGCCTCCAATGACAGGACCAATGCCATTAGCAATAGCAACGACGGCACCTAGAATGCCTTGATATTTGCCTCGTTCACGGAGAGGGACAACGTCGCTGACAATCATCTGCGCAACTGTCATGAGACCACCGCCGCCAATTCCGGTGAAAGCACGAAAGACAATCAATTGCGTGGCTGTCTGCGCAAGGGAAGCTGCCAATGACCCGAAGAAGAAGATGGCTAGGCCAACAAAGAGCACAAACTTGCGAGACCAGATGTCGGATAGTTTTCCATATAGTAATTGGAAACATGTTGATGTTCTGTGCCATGACTGTTAGTTTGACTGAGTAGTATCATTATACGAGAGAGAGGAGTATTCACACAAAGTAACCGCCCGAAATCCAGGAGGTCTGATCACTGGCCCCTAATGCATTTCCTATGATAGACAAACTGGCCGCGAGGGTCGTCTGGTCCATCAATGCCAGGAGGTCAACACTTGAACATGCCAGGAAGATCTAGCAGCTGTCATTAGCTGGGCCATATATTGCTTGTTACTGCATCCACTGACTGTGATAATAGTGCGCTTAGGCACATAATTGGTTTGTTCGTTGAAAGTGACATTAGTTATGTTTTTCTCAACTGCAACATCCTCTCTTGGTTTTGAAATTTCGAGTACCCCTGTCATGGCGTGCTGATATGAAGGGATAGAAAGTAAACATACACCCATCCAAAAACGGAGTAAAGAAGGAGGGGAAAAGAACGAAAAAGAGACCGCTCAAGCGGCCAAAATGGAATGATTAATCCAATCTATTCACATTTCGACCATTCGTAGATCGGCACATAGTCTGAGCACCTTGATAGAAGATCTGCACGTCAAAGTTGACAAAACTTCTCAAACGCGCTCAAGGTCCCCGCCCCTTAGTACAATAGTATATCGGGGTATCGGAATATTTTCAACTAATAGGAAATTAAATGCGAGGACCTGTGAGATATGAATCCATCCCTGAGGACCTTGCCAAATTATGTGCAGGAGACATCAAAATTACGAGAGCATGACGCAGCTCCGGTGCAGACCATTCCGTTTTCAACCTTTCTATATCCAATTACTGTGACAAACAGGTTTGCCTTCTAGGGTCTGATCTACACTTGAACCGTGTCAATGTCCTCGAGATCGCTCCACGCGATTTCCTTGTTCATCGTAGTAGCAAATTTCTAGGGCTTCCAGCGTCAACCTTTGTTTTCAAACTTCTCATCTCTGAGTCGTGTGCGGGATATTCACTAGTGGAGTACAAGTAGATCTTACTTTCTTACTTATTGGACGCCAAGAAAGACGCAACTGGATGGAGGAGCAAGTGATGGACCGCTATAGAAATTTGTTCTGTATAAGTGCCCAGATGGACCCGGGTTTTTCTTCTCTCATATCTGCTTACATCCCTCGAAAAGATTGCTCTTGAATCTCGCGCAATAGAGGCTGTCTACTACTTGACTAGCAACATCTATATCTTGCACCAAGGGTTTCTCGGGCAAGATGATCAATTCTTCCGAGAAAATGACCAATATGAATGAGCGCAATGTGTACTTTGGCACTGACTCGCTGAAAAAATACTTCGACCCGGACTGCCAGCCTCCTCTACCCCTTGTAGAGCTCCCACCTCATTTGAACCCTTACCATGAAGATGGGGTGCGGATATATGCCAAAATGATGACTATGCATCCGGCAAACAATGTCAAGGCAATGCCAGGTATGAGAAGTCCTGGGAGGATACTAAACATGGATTGCAAGCTAATACGAGACCAGCACTGAACATGCTCGAGTCTAGTGTTGTGCCCGGCAAGACAGACCAGATCATCGAATACAGCTCCGGATCAACAGTGATTTCAATGTCAATGGTCGCCCGAGTCATGCACGGGGTAAATGACACCCGGGCCTTCCTGAGTAACAAGACTAGTGATGCAAAGTTGAAGCTGATGCAATTCTTCGGCCTCGACATTACCTTGTTCGGTGGACCGTCTCAACCAGAGCCATTGGACGAACGAGGCGGTATTCAAAATGCCCGAAGAATGGCCCTGGAGTCAGATACGACTGTCAATCCCAACCAATACGAAAACAACAACAACTGGAAGTCCCATATCCGATGGACAGGACCACAGATATTCAAGCAGCTGCCTGAAATAAATGTCATCTGCGCTGGTATGGGCACGTCTGGTACCCTGACCGGTCTCGGGACCTATTTCAAAGATGTGAAGCCATCTGTTTACCGACTAGGTGTTTGCACAGCCCCTGGTGACCGGGTACCTGGT